ATGCACATCCACCCATAATTATGTTTTTCCAGTCTTTATGGGATATTTTTTCTCCCCAGCCTGCCACTGGCGTTGCAGAGATGGCTGCTGTGGCATCTTTGTGTCAATGAGTGGCAAGAGAGACCCAGGCTATATTCTACGCTCGTTTGTTCTGCACCCCGTGAGCACTCAGAGTGATTGATAGCCTGACATTCATTAATCAGCTGCTTCATGGGAGTCTGGGGAAAGCTAACTCTGACCTGCTTTAAATGTGAGATGTGGATGTAACAAGACAGAAGTTCTGTTTGATCTGTGCTGCAGAAACGCTGCGCGTGGCTTTCTGATTATTTCGCCTTGAAGATCAGATCCTGTGGGTGCCACTTGTGTTTCAGATGGATGAGTTGATCTGTCTGAAGCCACGTGGCAACTTGGTGACAGCACCAGGAGTCACAGACCTTAATCCTATTAAAAAATAAAAATATTCCCGTGCTGGTAATTTATTCCTTCTAAATTCCTGTTGCCAATGAAACAGTAACCATGTAACCAGGTTTTGGGATGTGTCTAAACCCTRTCCATGTATTTCTTGCTTTTCCAGAGGCAGCTGTGAGCCGTGGCAGAGCTGGAGATGCCCCAGAGCCCAGGTGAGCTGCAGTGCTGGGGGTGRTGCCCAGCCCCTGCCCCATCTCGTGTTGCAGGCGTGGCTGCAGTGCCACGTTTGTGTCATTCGGTGGCAGAAAGGAACAGGCGATGTCTTCCCTGGTGCTCTGAGCCCTGTGAGCTCCCAGGATTGCTCAACAACCTGACACTGACTGCTTATCCTGTTCTTTTTGCTTTAATGTAAATGGGGAATGGGGAGGGATGGGCAGGATGCAGCAGCTGACATTGCCCTTCAATCCATTCTTAATCAGGGACACTTTCCACTGTCCCARGGTGYTCYRAGCCCTGTCCAGCCTGGTCTTGGGCACTTCCAGGGATCCAGCTGCTCTGRGAAATCCATCCCAGCTCCTCCCAAGGAAGGATTTCAATATCTCATATAAACTTTCACTGTAAAGCAATTCCCCTGTGTTCTGTCACTACATGCTCTTGTGAGCARCAGCAAATTCTGATATTATTCATTCCAATAATCCTGAGTCCTTGAAATCTGGCTTTCCTGACCTGTTAATATCATCAGAGGTCRGAGAGGAGTTGCTTTAAGTTGTTTCCACTCCCTCCAGAGAATCAGAAGGTGGTGGAGCACAATTCCTTTGAAGAGCAGTTAAAACAGTRCCAGTTTTAGCTGCAGCAGGGGAAGGGTGTTCCTTCATTTTGCAAGGACAAATACAAGTGTCAGCTCTACCCCTGAATTCTATTTTTACYCTCAACAAGCCTTCATGGCCTGTGAGATCTTGAGTGCTGCCTGTGAAAGGACACTTTGACTTGTACAGGGATCAGGAATTGCACCTGGCAGTGGAGGAGGTGGGGGAAACAAGCACTTTAATTGTTTCCAAAATATGGACAGGGTTAGAAACAGTTGGGTGTGGATTTGGCATATGGAGGAAATTGCACCCTGTTCCCAGCATGGGTAAAACACTCCCAACGTCTTGATTTCCAAGAGTTGGAGCAGAAGGTGCAATCACAATCTCCTGAAATGCATCTTTGTAACCAAGCTTGGCTTTAGGGGGGATAAAGACACACAGATCAAACAAAMCCAACTCAATACTCTACAAAAAAAAACCCAAACTCAAGATATTTTTCCTTCTTACAGTGACTTTAGAGCAGGACAACTCAGGAAAGTTTTCAAATGTCAAAGGTGGGTATTTTGTTATTTCTTCGTGTGTTTCCAAAGCAGCAATGGGAGAGAAATCAATGAAAAAATTAATGCTAAAACCTCAAAGGCTCTTAAAGTCCTTCTAAACTGACGTTATTGCAGCAGTGAATGCTTGGCCSTGTTTTCCAAAGCAAGATCTCACTTTCTCATGTGGCTGGTAAAGCAGACAAAAAGCAAATTGGAATTTATTGAGCACAATGTGAAGTTTTAATGCTGGCACAGTAGGGAGCACAGGTGTCCCTATACCCAAATACTGCTGAGGGTCACTGTCCCTTCTTGGGAGACACCAAAAAACAACTGAGAGCAGCTCTGGCCACGCAGAGAGTGTGACCCTGAGGCTTTACAGTGAGTTACAGACTCTGGCAGTGCTAAATGGGAAACCTCATTAAATGGCCATTACAGGGCCAAAGGTGCCTCAGTGGGGCTGGCTGCAAAGCAAACCCTTTAATTGGGAAAAGTCACTGCCTCCAGCAGAGGCTTTGGGAAGGAATGCTAATAAGCTTGTGGGGATATGGTTATGCTTRAAGATGTGGCTCTTTTATTTAAATTTCCTGACTTCTTTTAACGCTGCAATCCGTATTTGGGGTTTTTCATCAGGCTTTCCTCRCACCAGGGGTCCTGCATGGGCACTGAGTGCTAATGAGTGTCTCTTTAGAACTTCCCTGAGCGAGGCACAGCAGAACCATTAACATTTTCCTGCTGGTATTTACTGTAACTGCCCTTCCCCAAGCAGCACTCYTGGGCCATGGGTATTGCTTTACTGAAGGAACACCTGGCTCTCAGCTGTGCAAAACCGGAATGTTTTGCATGAAAGTGGATTTTAAAAATCTCTCTGCATTGCACAGCCCTTCATCATCCAGGCCTGGTTTATGTCATGGCTTTAAAAACTGGAATAAGCCAAGATTTTTTTTTTTTTTTTCCTGTACTATTAATAGCTTGGCGCTGCACCGAGGTTGGCAAACTCACCTTGGATTCTTAGCGAGTGATGGAATAACCCAAAGCAGGCTCCAGCTATCCTGCTCTTTAATTATCCCTTTCCCAAACTCCYCAGCCAGATATTTTTCCAAATCCTTTCTGATGTCATGGCAAAGAACTCCTAAATTCGTGGCATGTCCTTCTGTCCCTGCTGTGGGTCTTGAGCCACCCAGGTTTGCAGGCAGGGAATAGAGTCAGTGGGATTTGGGGTGTTGCTGTGGCTCTGGACTRAAGGAAATCCCTTTTAAAAGTTTCCTTGGAAACCCTGATAACAGAGCCCAACTCATAACTGCCTAAAATGTGGTTTCATTTTATAAAGATTTCCTCTGGGATGTGAAAAATCYTGGGACAATTCCAAGACAGTGAGGCAGCAGAGTCTGGATGGCAGGGGTTCATTAACTCCTTAGTGATGACCTTACTGCTCCCTTTTTGTGGCTGTTTTTGAATTTTTCTGACATTCTTGGCCCTTTTTTATTTGCAGATCATGCCTTGAGTTGCAGAATCTCAGACAAGCGTGGCAACTAAAAACTGGTTGGCAGCGTCTGCATCCGACAACTCAGAGATTTCTAAAACTTGATCATCTGTGTTTTCTCTACATGGTTTAGAAGGTTTTAAATGAAAAAAAAAAACCTAAATAAAGATGCCACCTACGAGACTGAAATGATTATGCTGTGTATTTGTAGCACCCCAAGTAATGCTATTTTTTAACCATTGTAGGATTTAAGACTTACAATTGTGCATATGAGAACTTAAGGATGATTTTAAAGATATTAAAAGTTTTATTTCCATCGCCTTGGGCACAAAGCTCTGTTGCAGAAGCAGTGGCATCCAGTGAGAGCTGGGAGTGTCCTGGCTTTTTTTCCTTCTCCTAGGGGGAATCTGGAGGAATCTAAGTGTAAAGCAGCTTTGCCTTTACTCATTCCTCTCCTYTGTGGTTTGTAAACCATGAGCTGCRCTCACWTYGTGCTTTTTATTAGCRATGAGCAGAATTCCTTGGAGCCTGTGAGTCTGCAGYGATTCCTGGGAGTGTCCAGGGCCACGGGGGTGGGGATTAATGAGCTGGTGATGGAACAATTGTCATCACAAATGTCTTTATTTCAATTAAACTGTCAGGTACAGGGCCGCCTCTTTCCTGGAACTTCATAAATGTTTACAATGGTTCTGATTTAGGAGGAAAGGGTTTTTCTCCCTTTACCCAGGTGCTTTAACACTGCTTTGAAGGAAGGGAGCAGCRGGAATTTAGTGGGAGTAAAGAACAGAGGGAAGGGTGAAAAATGGCTTTTTTAACGACCTGAGGAGGGGATTTTGGCAGGGGGTGTTGGGTTCCTTTGCTGATGGCAGGAGGAAATGAGTCTGTCAGGGGAGCTGGTTGCCATGGGGATRCAGGACAATGGATGAGGAGTTGGGGAGCCTCATTACAGAATTCCAGTGAATTCCAGTCCTGCCTTCCCCTCCCGTGCAGGTGAACCTGCACCTGCCYACAGGAGCTCGGCAGTGCCCGTACCCAGCCCAGGGTGGCTCGAGGGGCTCAAACACAGAACCCTTAGGAGTGTTCAGCTTTTCCATGGATCAGTCACACTGCAGGGACTGAGTGCTGGGGCTCTGAGATACAGAGCACTCCTGACACCCAAACATCTCCAGTGAGAGGTGATGGGGATCCTAAAGAACAAGGAAATCCTGATCTCAAAGCCTTGGTGCTTGCTGCCAATCTCCTTCCCACGTGCTGCAGTGTCAGGTGTATTTTTATTTTGTGACTGCACATCAGCTTCCCTAAAGAATTGTTGGCAGAGCCCAGTGGCAGGAATATGACTGTGCTGGGAACAGAGCAACCTTGGGAGAGATTATCCAGCTCTTCCTCCCTGCCCAGAGTTGTGAGATTGCCATAATTGAGCTTTTAAAGGAACAGCCATAGTTAGAGCCCTGGGAGTACAGACACGGCCAAAAAAAAATTGTCTGGAGACCTGCTGAAAGCTTTGCCTGGAAATTCATTTTAATAATGAGAGAAGCACTGGATTATTCTGGTATTAACCTTCAACCTGTGCAGGGCAAGCCCAGCTTAGTTTTTTTGGAGAATTAAACCGAGAGGTTGGYTTATCCCTGCTCTGAGAGTGGTGGGGACTGGCACCCGGGGCACATTWACGGGTCAGAACTGTTCGTGTTTAGCCCTTTGCCTTTAAGCCATCCTTGGCCTYGGACGCTTCCAGAGCCGACACGTGAGGGAATGGCTTGTGCTGCCAATTCCACACTGGGGACAGGAGCAGCTGCRGGGAGCCTCACACAAGCCACGGCATCACTGTCAGGGTCAGGCACTTAAAAATGGAACCAAAGGATTGCCACGATTCTCCACGCTGGAACAGACAGCTTATCTGCTTCCTGTGTGACAGCTGCATCTGATGGCAGATGACTCAGACACTTTMAGGAGAGACTTTTGAATGGGGGAAATTTACCTTTTCCTCCTTTTTGGATCACAAGCAAGCTGATACTTAACAGGCTGCTGTGTGGCTATTGATGTACGGGTGTGTGATTCACGTAAAAGCTGTTTATTTACATCAGAGACGTTCCTCAAAAAGGAGATGTGACAAGTACAGCATGAATGATTCATTCCCATCGCTTTCCTGTTCATCAAGGAACAGTTTGATGCATCCAGCTGGGCTCTGCTTCCTTATCCCTTTCCGTGTCTTCCTCCTCCCCTGCTCAGCCCGGCTCTGTGCCCCAGCTCCGGCCGATCCGTGCTCCTGCTGGGCGGTGGAAGTCATGATGCTTGGTTTTCCATGAAGGAGAAGGGGCTGCAGCTCTGCTGARCTCCAGGGTGTGTTTTTCCTGGAGGGGAGAGAATGGACAAACAGGCCTTCAGCCCTTGGACTGCACGCCAAGATTGCAGATCGGAAACTCCAAGGCCGTGCTTCGCCCGTTAGGAATATTTGGTGTTGGAAATCTTCTTCCAGAGCAAGGTCTTGAGGTTGTTGAGCACGAGGGAGTGGTGCACTTCCATCTGGCTGGCCAGGCCGCTGAGGGTCATGCAAGTTCGGAGCTGCTTCTGCAGCTCTTCCTTCAGCTCCAGGGGAGCTCCGTAGAGCAGGTAATCCTGCAGCAGAGCGCACACCTTGGCCAGGTTGGGCTGCACCACGTCGCTCTTGCACTGCTTCAGCAGTTTGTCACACGTGGCCGTGCAGTCCCGCCCGTAGGTGCAGTCCCCGTTCTGCTCACAGTGACGGCCCTTGAGGAAGCCTCTGATTGTCATCTCSGTCGCCACCTTCCTCAGGTTGACCATTTTGAAGTCGAACTTGTCGTTGTAGCCCACGTTCCTGAGGCCGCTCTCGCAGATGTAGAAGTTGCCGTAGGTGCCGTGGAAGATTTCCTCCACGAATTCCAGCAGGCCGATGGCGATCTTGGCGCGCCGGGGCCAGGCCGGTGCGAACCACTGGTGGATGAGCTGGTGGATGATGGAAGGCAGCAGGGACTGCAGGAAAGGGGGAATGTCCACCCCGTAGAGGGAGGTGTGGGGGATCTTCTCGGTGACGTACAGGTCCCCACAGTGCCCCAGCAGCTTGGCCGTGTGCTCCTTCTCGTGCAGGGAGAACATGAGGAGGAACTCGTTGAGCTGCAGCAGCGCCCAGATGGATTTGGCCTCTGCCAGGGACACTTTCCCGTCGCGGTTCACGTCTGCCATGGTGATGATCCGGGTCACCAAGGCTGGGAGTGACGGCTGATCCCCCAGCTTGGACTGCAAACGGGACAAGAAGCGGTGTCAGACCATCGCAGATCTCCACAAAACCGAAATGGGGGAGCAAAGAACTGAGCTGGGGACAGGAGAAGACGATGACCACACTCCAGAAATTCCAGTTCCACACCATGTGTGGGCAGATCCAGCTCCAGCAGGGTTTCACCAGCCTCAGGGCTGCTCTAGACCCTCCTGCCGGAGGTTCCATCCCCCCACTGTGGCAGAAGCCCCAGCAGGAGTAACTCCCGGGGTCACCAAATCAGAGATGCTGCCCACAGCCGTGGCACAGCAGCCTCCAGGGATGCTGCTACTGAAATCCCACAGATAACAATTCGTGGGAGAGAATGGGGGCTTTTCTTTCTAATGCAGTGCATGCACAGAGCCCTGCCCAGCACCCAGCAGCGGGTTGGGGGGCACAGGCAGGAGGAGCTCTCCAAGGGGAAGSAAGGACACAATCTGTGTTTTGACCTCACAGGGGCCACCCCAGGCCCATGGGATCCCACAGGGCCCTGMACTGACCTTCAGGAAGTTGAGGAGCATTTCCTTGAACTCATCCATCGAGGTCCCCCGCGTGGGTTTGTCRAAGAGCACCACATCCCTCCTGGGCACAGAGTCCGGGCGGCTGTCAGCCYTCAGGGCTTCCCCGATGCCACATTTGATGATCACCTCCCTGTCCCTCCAGAGCCCTCTGTAAACCTGCAGGGAGAGGGACAGGGTGAGGTGGGAGGAGAGCAGCAAGGAGAGGGAGCTGGGTTCTGCTTTGGGATGGGCTGAGGGGGTTCTCCAGGGTGTGATGGGGTGCCCATCCCCTGCCATGGTGGGGGCACAGACCTACCTGCTGGCTGGGGGAGGAGGAGAGGCAGTGCTGGAACAGGAGGCCACGCTCCTCACACAGGTCCTTGCACGTGGAGCCAGAAATGATCCCTTTCTTGTACTGGTCACACTGGGGAGGGCAAGGAGAGAAATAAACAGGAATGGATTTCTGCTGGCCCTTAGRGATGGTTCAGTGCCTTGGGCATGGTGGAGCTGGGCTGGTGGGACCCCCTGTGCTGCTGGAGGAACCACAGGGATTTGTTCCTGGATGCTGCTGCTGCAAATCCAGGGATTTGGGAGAACTTCCAGGGCTGAAGGAGAGGGCAGAGTGGAGTGGGGTGAGGATGAGGATGCACAGGCTCAGGCTGCTCAGGGTGTGGCAGGGACAGGGACAGGGACAGGGACAGGGACAGGGGACAGTGGCTCAGATCTGGGCTGGGAGCCGGGGCCATCCCTGGGCAGGAGAGGCTGCAGCTCTGCAGCTCCTCGGCGAGGGCACGGCAGCCTCAGGGCTGCAAGCAGCAGCTGCAGACATTCATTGCATCTTTTCCCTTTTTTTTTTTTCCTGCCGTGGATGGGAATTAACCCTTGGACCTGCTGACAGGGGACAYGGCCAGACACGGTGTCTGGGAGCCCCAGCTCCGAGCAGGAATTAGCGCCCAAGACCCCGCGGTCGGAGTCAGGCAGAAAATCAAATTAAACGATCGTCGCTGTTGTTATGGCAATTCCTGCCTCCCTTCTCTGCCGAGGGATTGATCAACGAGGCTTGTTCTGACAGAGCCCGGCTCCCCCTCCTCGCCTGGGCTGGGCTGAGACCCCTCCCATGCCCAGGGCACGCACAGCGTGCTGGGGACATCCTGCTGGATGCCATGGGGAACCCCACTGCAAACCCCAAAACACAGCCAGCCAAGCTGTCACCAGGAGCTCTGCTGCTTTCCTTAGGACATAGCAGCTGACAGATACCATGGACTGGCTGCTCCTCTTCTTTCTGGAGCTCGGGGGGACTGGTGTGGCACTGTCCCTGCCCACAGATGCTGCTCCCTGCCCTGACATTCCAGCTTCATCTGCACAGACACGGCTCAGCCCAYGCTGCTTCCCTCTGACATCCCATTAAATTGTAAGGTCACCCCTCCCACCCTGGGCTCTGTGTGATGGTGGGGACAGCGCTAGGGAAGGCTCCTCATCCCGGTTTTGGGGTTTGGGAGGCTGGAATTGGGGCTCCCAGAGCTCACCCACACCCCARTGTGTGCTGCCACTCACGATGATCATCCGGCAGACGTGGCCGCGGCACAGCTCCGAGTAGGACGAGTAGTGCATGTAGGCCACCCAGCTGCCCACGAAGATGCCCAGCCACACCACCAGCAGGTACTTCACCTTGATGCCCGGGAGGCGGCCCTGCAAGGGAAAGGAAAGGCTTTTGAACCCTTTCTGAAGGGCAGGGCTCTGCCCAAGGCGGCAGCAGCTGGACAAGGACGGCGTCTGCCACGCAAACCGACCTGAGCGCTGGGGAAACCTTCAGCCTTTTTTATATATATTCATCAGTCTCTTATGCAACTCCTGCTGCAAGTAGGTCACTTAAAATTCCCTAAAAGCAGGGGGATTACAGGGCTGGGCTGCAAGGAGCTGCATGCTGTGCATCCCCAGGAGCTGTGGCTCCCTCCTGCTCTCCTGCCCTGAGCCAGCCCGGGGTAGCCCAGAAATGCCACAGCTCTGCCCCTTTTTGGGGAGCCCCTTCTCAGCAGAACCCCCCTTACAAAGCCCCACGGGCATGGGGAGCTCTCAGCATGTGGGAGCAGGTGAGTAACAAACCCAGGAGTTCACGGGTGATGCTCTGGGCAGGATTTGGTTTTGTTGGCTTTGTTTGTTCCCCCCTGTCCCTGCCCAGCAGCGCTGCTGCCATCTGGCCTCTCATGCAGGGGGCTGCTCACCTGGCTCCTGGAACACGGAGCAGATCCCCGGCACTTCTAAAGGGCAGGGAACAAACCCTTGCATTAAACAATCCATTCCATCCCATTTCTATAGATTATTTCACAGAACCCTTGGCCTTTGAGCACCTCCAAACCCTTCTCACACCGGTGAGATCCTGACCTGCTGCTGGGGTASGGCTGGATCTGAGTGGGTGCAGAGCCTTCAAAACCTGCCAGGATCCTTGCCTGGGTCCTGTAGCTCAAACCCATCCCCACCTCTGAAACACCAGGAGCTGTCAGGAGCCACAGGAATGGGCAGGTGAGGGTGAAAACAGCCAGGTCTGCCTTGAGATTGTGGCATTTCTCCTGTTAATTGGAAACCCAGAAGTGTGAAGCGGGCCAGGGTGCTCRGTTTGCCTGTCGAGCAATGGCACCGCTAATTAACGTGAAATTAAATTAAAAAGAAGCCAAGCACAGCCAGGACTTGGCAAAGACAAAGTGTGGGTGGCTGCTGCTGTGAGCTGAGAACCAGCTCATGGCCCTGAAGTCAGACACACACCATGAGACCCTGAGATCCCCCCCAGCACAGCAGCCCCCCAAAACTSCCCAGGTGGGTAAGGGAGGCCCCCTGCCCTCAGCAAAGGGCTTTTCTCAGGGACTTCCCATGACAGACAYGTCTTGGAATAGCCAAAATGTCACTTTTTGCTTATTCTGACTTAGAATCCATCACTTTCCTGGTGAAGAAGGGGGGTCAAGACTGTGGGCTGAGCATGGCACAGGGAGCATTGGCTTCATCATCCCCTAAATGGTGAAAAAAAAATGTGGAGATGCAGGATGCATTTCAATGAGAGGTTCCCCTGAGCTTTGGTCGGATTTGGGATTTTGAGGGTTCCTCATTCTCAAGGCACGAGGCTTTCTCTCCCATCACCTTCCCTGCACTAAGGGTGTCACCCTGTGAGAGTTGCTGTGTTTAGTTTTAGGGTGACTCTGGAGGATCTGGAAGTGACTTTGGGCTGGGGTTGACTTCAAAGGCAAAATGGATGCAGCATCACCGAATCCTGCTCCATCCCCGTGGYTCCCCTGGGAACACAGGGRTTGATCCACAGCAGTCCCAGCTCTGCACCCACCTCCTGCCAGCACCCTCTGCCCACCGGGTACCCCTCCCATGCCCCCTCATCCCYTCTGGGATAACCCCTGTGGTCCAGGATCTTTGCCAGAGTCAGGGTTTCTCATCCCACRGCTGCAGAGAAAACACCCATTCCAGCATCCCTGACATCCCTGGAGCTTCGAGGCAGCTCCCCGGGGAAAATAAAGAAAAAAAAGAGAAGGAAGGAGCCATCCCTGCCCTGCTGCATCGGCGGCATCACCCAGAGCTGCGAGCTGCCGGCTGGGCTGCCCTGGTACTCCCAGGCTCCGGCACGGCGGAGCGCGGTGAGGGTTATGCAACCGCTGCGGCCCCCGGTGCCGGTCCAGGGCCCCCGGTACCGGTCCAGACCCCCGCAATGTCAGTCCAGACCCCCGCGATGCCCGTGCCCGGCCCCCAGCTCCTCGCACCGTTGTCGGGGGGACCGAGGCGGAGCGTCCCTTTGTGCACGGCCGGTGCCAGGATGCGGAGAGCGGCATCCCCGAGCCCGCATCCCCCCATCCCAGCGCATCCCCCGACCCGGCGCGGCCCCGAGCCCGCATCCTCCATCCCGGCGCATCCCTCCTCCTCCGGCGGTACCTGCAGGCCCTTGGAGAAGGGGCAGAACAGCACCAGATGCACCAGCCGCCGGATCCTCCGCATGCTGCGGGYGCCCCGCGGCCGCGGGCCTCAGGCTCCGGGGGGCATGGCCGGGGCGGCCGCGGCCCCCGCAC